CTCAGTATAATCAAGGCCATAAGTCTAAGTGTAGCCTTTAGCAACAAGTCGAGCTTTAATACGGTCAACAGCACTATCAGGCTTCTGTTTAACAGTAAAAACCTAACGACAACCAACAACCTGAGTATCAGCAGGCTTAGGAACAAGGTCCCAAGTATAATTCAATTTTAAAGCGTTTATTTCTTCTTCCATAGCTTTCCTCCACCCTGGATGAGAAACTGTCTCCCTATAGGACTTAGGAAGAGCAATAAAGGATAATGACAAAGAAAAAGCTTGAAAGGAGGAGGACAATTTATTATACGATACAAAATTAGAGATAGGATGATTGGTACAAGACCATTTACCTTTCCGAACAGCAATAGGTTAATCAAGATTAGAGTCCGGAGAGATGGAAGAACCTCCAGACGTTGAAGCGAGACTGGTGGAAATGGCAAGGCTGGGTTTACTACTTCAGTTGTTGGAACATGATTAACTACTCTTTTCCGACAACGAGCATAGATGCGAAGAGCTGGTGGGATGTCAGAATCAAAAACTGGAGTTGGAAGAACAGACTCTTAAAGAACAGAGTCCTCCAGGTGACTGCCTTCCTGAGAATAATAAGAAACATCCTCAAAGAAAATTTACGAAGAGTTGGACTGTAACATTTATATCCCTTTTGAGTGAGAGAATAACCTAAGAAAATACATTTGTGAGCATGAAGATCAAGTTTGTCTCATCCTGAGCTTAGATTTTGAACAAAACAAACACCCCCAAACACCTTTGGAGGAATAGAAAAAGGATTTTTGTCAAAAAACATCATTTGGAAGGGTGATTTTCCTTGAAGGACCCTAGAAGGGATGCGGTTTAAAAGATAAGCAGCAACCAGAACTGCATTTGCCCAAAAATGTTTTGGAACATGCATTTGAATTGTCAAGGCACGAGCGATAGCTAGGAGTGGGCCATTCTTTCGTTCAACAACTCCATTTTGTTGAGGGGTATCAACACAAGATGTTTAATGGATAATGCCCCTCGACTCAAGAAACTTTTGAAAAACATAAAGTTTATATTCAAGGGCATTGTCAGTTCTAAGAACAAGTAATTTTGCATCAAACTGATTTTGAATTTCAGTATAAAAGGATTGAATAACAGAGAATACTTGAGATCTATCTTTAAGAATATAAACCCAAGTTAAACGTGAATAATCATCAATAAATGACACAAAATAACAAGCACTAAATAAACCAGTAATACGAGTTGGTCCCCAAACATCCGAATATACTAACTCAAACGGTTTTAAACTTTTATCAAAATGAGACTTAAAAGTAGCCCGACGATGTTTACTAAGTTCGCAAGTAGTACAATTAAACTTAGAAAAATAAACTAAAGAAGGGACCAAGGCTCGAAGGCTATTTGAAGAGGGATGTCTAAGTCAGCAATGCCACTGGTAAGCTGAAGAAGAGGTGGAATGTAGAGCTGTCAGAACAGTAGTTGGCTAGAATTAGTAAAGACAATCCTTCTCAAACCCTCACCAATCGTCTTCTTCGTCTTGAGATCCTGAAAGACACAACGGGAAGGAGAAAAAGCAACTGAGCAATTTAAATCTGATATGATTTTGCGCACTGACAATAAATTGAATGAAAATTGAGGGATATACAAAACTGATGAAAAAGTGACACCCAAAGCGTGGAACGTACCAATTCCATGAACAGGTGATTTGGCACCATTTGCTATAGTAACAACCGATGGTGAGAAAACATAAGAAATATCATAAAGAAGAAATGAGTTACCTATCATGTGATCGGATGCCCCTGAATCAATGATCCAAGATGTAGAAAATGAAGCATAAAGACACGTATTACCTGAAGTAACGATAATAGCGGTGGAGGAGGGTTGATTTGCACGCTCACGCTTTACCAGTTTAGTGCTTGTGATTGACCCAAAAAGTTGGGATTCCTTAGTATCCATCACAAGAGCTGCCGAACAAATGAGATATAGTAGCGAGAGGGAACCGAGATAAGAGAACCAAGATCTAGCCGAGATGAACTTGAGAGAAATTATCGAGGAGAGAGCCGAGGAGGGATCCGAGAGAGATTGCTGAGACGATAACTGAGATCACTGAGGAGAGATCGCCGAGAAGAGATTAAGAGAAAGCCGAGATGGAATCAAGATCGGAGTCTGAATAAGACTAAAAAAAATTTAAAGAGGGATCGATTTTCGCTCTGATACCATGTTGAAAGAGAGAGAAAGAGAGAGAGGGGGAGAGAGACAGAATATATGAAAACTTATATGCTATTGAGTTAGTAATACAAAAATACAATGGGGTTTATATAGGAGAAGCTACAGGAGTAGATGAGTGGAGAATAAGAAAACCCTATACATAGTAATTATATATATCGTAATGAGGGGTAGGTGACAATTTACACAATACTAACTGTACACGTGTGACAACTCATACAATACTGTACAACACAAAGGAATATGATCAAAGCTAGGTCTAGCCAATGCCTCCTGAACCACATCTAGGAACTTCTTCTCCCAATCTCTAGAGAGGAGGAATCTAGCCAAGAAAGGGTAGGAAACTCCCTGCCACTAGACTAGGTACAAGTTGCACCCTCCAAAGCCAAATCAAGCAACTGATGATCATCAATTTTTTTTTTATTAGTATTGTAGATTGATAAGTGCAACTGATGATCATCAATAAGAACTGCTCCATGGCTACAGTCCACCTCCCTCATGTAGATCTCTCCAACGAGGATCTAACCATGTTGAAATTCCCGCCCACACACCACAGAAGAGACCAATGCCCTCGAACAAAACTAAGCACCTCCCATACCAATATGTATCTCCCCATCCTTCACCAGACCATATGCACAGGAAAAAGCCCACTGGAACCCATCAGCCTCAATAACAAAAGCACAAGACAACAAGAACCTCCCTCTCCAAACATCCACCCTGGACACCCACCTTCTATCCCACATCACTAGGATACTCCTAACCACCCTATCTGAGGTGAAGTCCAATTTCGTGTCCAACAAACAAACCACATGAGCAACCCACTTCTCAATTGCCAACTTCACCACCTTCCTCTTATCCGGATCATTCCCCACCCCCTTTCCACTCCCTCTCCCCCATTCTCCCCCTCACCACCCCTTCCTTCCCTTCGTAGTTAACATAGGAAATGAGATTCCGGACTTCCCTCTCCCCTTTCTACGAGGGGAACTTTCTTCTTCTCACCCCCGTTTCATCCCTCTTCCATGGAATGAAGAATCATCAAACCTTGCTCATCATTCCCGCCAAATGTCATTCCCAATAGATCGCTTGTAGCATCAAAATTCTCCCTTACCCACTCCTCCCCTTGATCATTATTGACTTACACAAGCGTCTCCCCCCTCTACTCTCCAGGAAAAACAACAGCCAACGCGGACCATCAAACCCAATGTGTTAGCCTCCCCTTCTTCCCACAGCAGAATGTCTAGAGGGCACTCCAACAACACAGTGACACAGTCAACCGCCACTCATCATGATCAGCAGCAAATTCCCCTGACCCATCATGATCTGAAGAGACAGAAGACCCAAGAAGCAACCCCATCATCCTCTTGCCGTTCTGTCCAGAGGAACTGGAAACCAGCCAACCTGCAACAGCTTTGTGGAGTCTCATTTCCTTCACAATGCAGATTGAAGAATTGGGTGGGGGAAATTGACTTGGGGATTAGGGTTTACAACGGCTCCATCCAGGTTTTTGTACCTGATTTCTATCAAGTAGGGTCTAACAATCATTAGGTCATTATTGTCATTTAAATTTTTTTCAAGTTGACATGAGTTGCATGTGATCTTTTTCCATTTCAGTTTCAACAACACAGTGATAGCAGGGGGTCTTACCCAAATCGTGATAGTTTAAGGTGCAAAATACAATAAATAAAAAAATAAAATAAAATAACTCAAGGGGTTAACAATAATAATCGCATGTAATCTTTTTCTGTTTCATTTTTGTCATAATAATAATGTTTAACAATAATACTTTACTATAATTGTATTAATTATTAGGCTATGGTGGTTATTGTCTATTAGTTAAGAAATTGCTTCCTGAGCTTTTGAAGCTCACCCCCTATTTCCCCAAATTTCAGGTAGTTGAGATATTGGTGGATTAGTGGCATTGTCAAGGCAGTTTATTAGTTAAATATAGGCTTTATAGTTCTTATGTAGTTCTTTTATTTTATTTCAGAGTAACTTTATGTAGTGGAATATTTCGCACTTGGATTTTATTTAGTTTATAGATATCAGTTGGTTTATTTTATATTAACATGGGATTTATGATTGATATAATTTAAAGATATGTTTGAGGAATTTAAGAATTTAAGCATGTAAATACCAAATATTATTAAGCTGGTTTGAATGTTTATTGTATCAAGTCAAACTGTCAAAGGTCAAGCTACTCTTGATCTCAACTTGGGGGTGTGACAATTTAGCTCTATGCAAGTTCCCATGATGTTTCTTCATTGATGGTTTTAGCATAAACACTTGTGCCTAGCTGGTTTGATTGTGTGAGTGATGGATTTATTGTCTACTATTAAATTAGTAGATTTATTGTGACTGGCCAAAAGAAACTGAATCTATACTACGGAAATTTTAAAGAGACATTTAAATTGGACTAGCTGGTTTGATTGTTTGAGTGATGGATTTATTGTCCATTATTAAATTAGTAGATTTATTGTGACTGGCCAAAAGAAACTGAATATACACAACGGAAATTTTGAACAGACATTTAAATTGGACCTACCCTTCTAGGTTGTAAAATCCATCTTGGCAACACATTTCTCAACAAAACTTATTACAGAAGAGTGAAAAGTATTTTATAACATGTCAAACCCACAGTAATAGTTATTTTGATATTCTTTTGATAAGAATCAAAATAGTAATTACACTCATTAATCAACAAAAGAAACACAGGTGGCCTTCAATTGAATAAAGAGAACTAATGATAACCAAAATATATATTATAAGAATGAGAATCCATAACTTACTTCTGGAAACAAACTGGGGCACTCTGTAATATGTTGAGCAAGTTTAATCGCAGCCTGTGATGTTGGTGCCTCCCCCATAGTAATATTGTTGAAATAGAAAGAAGCCAAACTATCAACTGCAGAAGCACACTGAACATGAAAGATGAAAATAGTTTAAACTCCTGCTAGTACAGTAACAAAATTTTCAATTAATATGTGCTAGAATTTAGATAAGAAATAATAAAAATAGAGAATCCACCCATGCAAGATACTAAAAGGTTTGGTGAATTACCCTCACCTCCCCTCGAGGTTTTGAATAATCACCATTAGATGAAACTTCGGTAAAAATCACTCTGGCACCCCCTATCAGAACTAGGAAACAAATGTCCCCAAACTCCTTGTGGTTTTGTTATTTATTTATTTATTTTTAATAAGTAAGATTTCATAAAAACGCCCAAAAGGGGAGCACTCCCAAAAACAACAGATGTCGAGCACGACGAAACTATAACTTTAAGCTATCCACAAAATCCAATAGGAGGTCCAAGGAAACAGAATCCCGCCCATGAAGAACAAAGAAGATAAAATATTGTATTTGAGAGACCAAATGGGAGTTTCTTGTCCCTCAAAAGCTCTCATATTCAATGGCCCTCCAAGCGTCTCTGACAACGCTCTCCAGTATGCACCCATTCCAAGTCTCTAACGTATCAATTGTGGTTTCTGGAAAGACCCAAAAAAGACCAAAAGCAGCCAAAAACATAGACCAAACATCCCTAGCCACCGAGCAATTGAGAAGAAGGTGATTCACAGATTCGCCCGACATCTTGCACATGTAGCACCAATTCACCGTAATACGGCGTCTCCTTCTCAGGTTATCCAGAGTAAGGATGCTACCTAGGGCAGCACTCCACGAGAAGAAAGCCACCTTCAAGGGAGCTTTTGTCCTCCAAATAGCTTTCCAAGGGAAAGAAGGGCTAGGAATCTCCTCCATACTTTCGTAGAAAGACCTAACCTCAAACACTCCTCTCTAGTCCACCAACACCATCTCATCCATGCCCACCCCAACCATCACTTGGCGATTCAACAAATCAAGAAAGTCTGTAACCTCCAAAAGTTCCCATTATCTACGGAACTGCACATCCTAGGTCACCCTCCCATTATCGAGACAATAACAATCAGCGACCACAAATGACGATTCACAGCAATTCTGAAAAGACGAGGAAACCTACAAGCCAAAGCCAATCCCCACACCATCTATCCTCCCAAAATCTGACATTCCTTCCACCCCGAATCTTGAACCAAATGCGTTTGGAAAACTCATCCCAGTCCCTTCGGATCGGCTTCCAAGAACCCATACCTGCTGGGGATCTCACCTCCCTAGACCCCACCCACCCTCTCCCTCCCCGTAATGACAGGAAACGACACGCCTCCAAAGCTTGGATCTCCCACACGTCCAGTCTTCAAATTCACACGAGACTCAGAGTTTCAGTTAAGTTAGGAGATTGCGTCAGTAGTGGTGAAGGAATTGAAGATGTATAAAGGGTTGAAGGGATTGAACCGTTTGCTGGATTTTGGCTTAGAAACGGTAGGGGAAGACTCTGAAAGAGATTTTGGTTCACCTTCGGCTTTCAACGGGATTGAGGTTTCGGCTGATGAAGGTCGTGACAGATTGGGGGGAGGGGGCAATGATAGGAATGCTATGGAGATGGTTCCATAGGAGGATACTACTAGTCTGGAGATGCAACCATTACGTGTATTACGGCCGGACGAGGGGAAGGATTTCTTTGCATTAGGTTGTGATGACAGAGGGGTGGAATGGGTGAAGGATAACATTGATACTTTGAGTAATATGTTGGGACTTTCTTTTCAGCCAAATGAGGAGAAGGCTCGTTTAGTGATGCATTCAATTGTGGGGGGAAAGAATGTGGAGGATGTTGAGAAGGCTTGTTTAGTGATGCATTCAATTGTAGGGGGAAAGAATGTGGAGGATGTTGGGAGTTTGAACAGAACAGTTAGAAAGAAGAAGAGGTTATCCCCATGGAGAGTGGGAAGGGAGATCCGATGCCTGATTTCTAATATTAATTATGAGGGGAAGAATGGGACGAGGAGGGAGAGCAGCAGTGAGAGGGGAAGAGGGAGAAGGAGAGGGGAGGGGTCATATATTGGTTTTTTAATGAAGTGCAACATTATTTCCTGGAATGTTCGAGGGCATAATGATTCGGACAAAAGAAAGGTGGTCAAATTGGCAGTGAGGAAGTGGGGTGTTCATGTGGTATGTTTACAAGAGACGAAGATGGCGTCCATTTCGGATAGGGTGGTTAGGAGTTTGTGGGGTGGGAGGTTTATTGAATGGGAGGCGTTGAATGCTGTTGGGCCATATGGGGGTATTTGGTGATATAGGATAAAAGATGGGTGTCAAAAGTGGATGTGTGGCGAGGGAGATTCTCCATTTCTTGCAGTTTTACTATAGAAGAGGATGGGTTCCGTTGGGTGTTCTCGGGTGTTTATGGTCAGTGGATGATGGGGAGAGCCATCTTCTCTGGGAGGAGTTGGGAGCTGTTAAGGCACAGAAGTGTCTTCTATGGTGTGTGGGCGGTGATTTTAACGTGGTTAGATCCCCTTTGGAGAAATCGATAGGAAGAAGATGGACTCAGGCTATGGTACAATTTTCAGAATTCATTGATGGTCATCATCTTCACGATTTGCCTTTGAAGGGTGCTTCTTTCACATGAGTTAATGGCAGAGAGTCTCCTACCCTTTCACGTCTGGATAGATTTCTCATTTCAGGAGATTGGGAGGAGAACTTTCCGGATGCGACTCAGGTAGCCTTGGCTAGACCGAGATCAGATCATATTCCCTTGGTGTTGGACTGCGGTGGGTTAAGGTCTAGAATCACTCCTTTTCGTTTCGAAAACATGTAGCTTAGGGCGAATGATTTCCAGGGGTGTGTGAGGTCTTGGTGGGAAGGTAGTATAGTGTCTCGGATTCTGAGCTATATTCTTGCTAGAAAGCTTGGGGTGTTGAAGGAGATGAAAAGGTGGAATAAGGAGGTTTTCAAGAATCTCGAGTGGCGGAAGAGTAGGGCTTCGGCGGAGATTGCAGAGATTGATCGTCGGGAAGGCATGGGTGGCATTAATGATAAGCAGAGAAGTAAGAGAGCGGCGTGCCAGGCTGAGATTGCTGTGTCAGAGGAGATTTCGTGGAGACAGAAGTCCAAAACATTATGGCTTAAGGAGGGGGACAGGAACACTATGTTCTTCCATAGGTTGGCTAATGCTAATAGGAAGGGCAATCACATATGGAGACTTACCGTGGATGGGGTGGTCTTGAGTAGGGAGGACGTGTTTGCAAGGGGATTGCCCGATTCTATTTTGGAGCCTGTTTCTACGAGACGCCGGTTGGATGGACTTAATTTTGATAGAATCTTTGAGGCAAACAGGGAGGGTTTGGAGATTCCGTTTTCTAAGGAGGAAGTGCTGAAGGCGTGAGAAATTGTAATGGGGATAAAGCTCCAGGTCCGAATGGTTTCACTATGAGGTTTCTTTTGGAGAGTTGGCCGTGATCGGGGGCGAGGTGATGGGTACTTTTCATGCTTTTCATACTCGAGGGCGATTTGAGAAATCCCTTAATACATCATTTATAGCCCTCATTCCGAAGAAGGGTGGACCCGTAGATGTGAAGGACTTTAGACCTATTAGTTTGTAGGGAAGCATTTATAAACTAATAGCCAAAGTTCTTTCTTTGAGATTAAGGGTGGTATTGGATGAGGTTATTTCGGAATCTCATAATGCTTTCATAGAAGGGCGTCAGATTTTGGATTCTGCCTTTATTGCTAGGGAGTGTGTGGATGATAGATTGAGGAGTGGGGTTCCAAGGCTTTTGTGTAAGTTGGATGTGGAGAAAGTTTATGATCATGTTAGTTGGAGTTTCTTGCTATATCTGATGGCAAGGATGGGTTTTGGGGATAAATGGAGGAAATGGATTGAGTTCTACATTTCTTTAGCGAGATTCTCGGTGTTGGTGAATGGGGTTCCGACTAGTTTCTTTGGTAGCTCACGAGGTTTGCGTCAGGGAGATCCATTGTCCCCACTTCTGTTCATCATTGTGATGGAGGGGCTTAGTAGATTGATGGGAAGGGCTATGGAGGTGGGCTTCATCAGGGGTTTTAGGGTTGGAAGGGATGATATGCATCAGTTGGAGATTTCCCACCTTTCATTTGCGGATGATACTCTTGCTTTTTGCGAGGTTGAGCTGTCTCCCAGTGGGGTAGGTTCCAGAGATTGAGGAATTAGCTTCTATTCTTGGTTGTTGAGTTAGTTCTTTTCCGATCTCTTATTTGGGTTTGCCTCTAGGTGTTTCTTTGAGGATTGTAGGGGCTTGGGATTCGATGGTAGAGAGGGAGGAGAGGAGGCTTGCGGGGTGGAAGATGCAATATTTATCAAAACGTGGGAGGGTTACCTTGTTGAAAAGCACTATGTCGAGCATTCCTACATACTTTTTATCCCTTTTCCAGATTCCGTCCTCGGTTACTACTTGTATTGAAAGACTTCAGAGGAAATTCTTATGGGGAGGTTTGGGAGATGAGTTTAAGTATCATCTGGTTCGTTCGGAGCAAGTGTGTAAGCCTGTTAAGTTCAGAGGAATTGGGATTAGGCGACTGCTACCTTTTAACAGGGCACTGTTAGGTAAGTGGTTGTGGAGGTTTGGTATTGAGCGGGATAGATTGTGGAGGAGGGTTATCTTGTGTCGCTTTAGGGAGGAGAGGGGGGGCGGTGCTCTGCAGTGGTGTCTATTCCTGAAGGTGTCGGTGTTTGGAAAGCCATTCAGAAGGGATGGAATGAGTTTTCTAAGAATATTAGATTCAGAGTTCATGATGGTATGGAGATTCGGTTTTGGGAGGATGTGTGGTGTAAAGATCGCACTTTAACATGTTCTTTCCCTAGACTTTTTAGGATTGCGGCAAATAGGCATGCCTCGGTGGCTGACTGCTATCGCCTTGATAGCGGAAGACCGGTTTGGGACGTGCTTTTTTAGCGATCTTTTCAGGACTGGGAGATCGATGATGTTTTTGGTTTTTTAGAGTTGTTGTATAGCCAGGTGATCCATGGAGGAGGTAGGGATTCTCTTGTTTGGATTCCTTCTTCTAATGGAAT